CTAAATATAACCATAGCGATAGTTACGGCTGTAACTACGGTTCTATGAGTCCCGGATGACCGCCAAAGGCGGTGCTTTTAGCACTGGATATGTCCATCGCACGCATGCGCAGTTCGAGTACCTAATAACAACAAAGTCACCTGTGACCCACGTGACTACGGCTACATAGGCCGGCGTCACTAGTGGATCGGTTCCCAGAATCTTCTCGCGAGCACAAAATAATTCTGAGTGACCGGAAACTCTGGCGGTCATCCGGGACTCATAGAACCGTAGTTACAGCCGTAACTATCGTTCTATTTCGTCCCTACTGACCGCCAGAGGCGGTGCTTTTAGCACTGGATGACTATACCAACCATGTCATGAAGAATCCGAACACTTGCTTACCTAGCTGGAAGCAGCGGAGTTCGGCAACAGGACCACGCCCAAAGGATGGGGAGTGGCGACATTGACCCGGTAGAACCTGGAGAATGTGCCAGACGATGCCCACGACGTCGCAGCGCAGATGGTCTCCAGGGACACCCCTCTCAGGGCAGCCCAAGATGTTGAGATGCTCCTTGTAGAGTGACATCTCACCCCTGATGGTGGGGGGCGGCCACTGGCCCCACAGGCATGTGAGATTGTATCCACAACCCAGTGGGACAGCCGCTGCTTGGAGAGAGCACAGCCCCTTCTCGTGCCGCCATGGCAAATGAAGAGCTGCTCTGACTGTCGTATATGGGTCGTAGCACCAATATACGCCTCTAGGGCACGCACAGGGAACAGCAACTCAGGCGTGCCGTTCTCCTGTGGGACGTTAAAGCGCGCCAGCTGGACAGGCCGATTGGAGTGGGCTAGTGGAAGCACCTTGGGCAGGAACGCCACGTTCGGCCAGAGGGCAACACCCGAGCCATCGGAGTTCCACCTCAGGCATGTATCGCTCACGGAGAGGGCATGTAGCTCTCCAACTCGTTTCCCTGAGGTCATGGAAAGCAGAAATGCTGCCTTTAAGGACAGCCACTTAAGCTCCACCTGGGCCAGGGGCTCGAAGGGAGGAGATGATAGGGCATCCGGCAGCAGGGGCAGGTCCCAAGCCGGAGCCCTCGGGGTGCTAGGGGGATGCTGCCGTAAAGCCCCTCTCAGGAAGAGGGACACCGACCTGTGGCACCCCGCCGTAGCACCGTCGACCCGAATATGTCGGGCAGAAATAGCAGCCACATAAATTCAGAGTGGAGTGAGAACGCCCACTGTCTAGAAGGGACTGCTGTCTGGGCAACAGCGTACCTGCTGTCCCAAGGAACACGCACATTCTTGCCCCCCAGTAGGGGTAGAAAGTGCGTGAGTGCAAGCTGCACAGCCCAAAGCTCTAGCACGTTGGCATGGCGTGCACCCTCCTGGGCAGACTACTGACCCTGAACGGTCCTGCCCTGCCGTACTGCACCCCACCCTGAGAGACCTGCACCTATGGTGACGGTCTCCTGGCGGGATGGAGATAGGCCCTGCCCCTCCAGTGTGACCGAGAGTGGAGGCAACGCTGCAACACCCTGACTTCCTTGCGCCTGTGCCACTTGGCGTCCAAGTGAAGGCTGTTCAGCCACATCTGCATGGGGCGCAACGCCAGCGGGCCCAAGGGCCCAATGGCCGAGGCAGCCTGCCCAAGGGCCGAAGGAACTGAATATAAGGCACCATGTTGCCTGGCCCACGTGGAAGTAGGCATCCCTCAATTCCACGGCTGTGCATGTGCTGTGGTCAGCATATAGAGTGGCAGCACCTTCAGGAATCTGTTGATTCCTCTGAGGTCCAAGATCAGGCGAAATCCGCCGACTTTCTTGCTCACGAGAAAGTACGCTGTTACGTTCCCTATTGGGCTAGGGGAACCAAAGGGAAGCGACACGACCAGAGTGGTATTGGTATTAATTATAAGTGGCTTTATTATAATGCAAAGTGTAACAAAAATGGCAGGCAGGCAGCCTGAAACAAACAAAAGGGCCAAAAGGGCACCGGTTGACAATTGACCAAACAAAGGGAGGACTCTTAAAAAGGAGTCTACTGGCATACAGAATAAATAAATACTAATAGCAAAAATGAAACAAAACCTCACTTTAACAGTGGTACAACTAAATAAAGGAAGGCACAGCTGTACCTGATCAACAGGTGCTAGTTACCTGGGTCTAAGCTGTTTCACAATATCCTACACAGCACACTACTTCTACACACATATCTCCACACTCAATACTAAGCACATAAGTTGTCACACGACACTGAACACATATATGGACACTCGTCACTAAGCACAGTCTGTAATGTCCATGACACAAGAGCAAAAAGGTATGAGGCGTCTGATCGCAGCAGAGCCTCCAGAGTGGTGATAGTTCCCAGGCTTTGTAGTCCTCTCCAGCAGGTGTGCGCTGGGCTGGCACAGGGATTGGAGAACGTCGGACCCGGCGTGCTCCAATCAGTGTCCTCGAAAGTGGACCAGGAGATGACAGCCAATGATGTTGGGGCAACCACACAGCTCATTTACATAATCACCCACAGCTGAAAACACTCACAGGCAGGTTAATGAGCAGACAGCAGCAGCAGCCGTGACACTCCCCCCCCTTAAGACACAAACCCACAGTTTGTGCACCAAACACTCAAACAAACACCCAAACAAATCTACCTAATAACACACACTAATATCACATACTAACCTGGACAATACATCAGCCAACGCGTTCTCCGAGCTCTGTTTAAGACGGATGTCTTGTTTTGTAGTCCCGCACAATCAGAGCCCAGCGCATGAGACGCTGATCATGCTTGGGTAGGCTAAGACAGGCTACGTAGGGATCATAACAGAGGAACAGGACTTTGATCGGCCACATGCTGAGTCCTACCCAGATCTCAACGTGCTGTAGAACTTGCACCAAAACTAAGACGAGTATCCGATAAATCAGCAGACGCTCTCGGATTACTGAGAGAGTCGGAAGGTCGAAAGGCTTGTCTGAGCCGACGGGTTGCACAGCGCTCGCGACATCCTCCTGAGGAGGGGACGCCACAATTACTGGCTTTCCCTCGGGCCCAACCTTGTCTGGGAGCACCTGCACAATCGCAGGATCAGGCAACAAAGCATCTGAGTCATCCCTGAGTGCAGGGGTCACCTTACTACCCGCAATGTCATTTCCCATTAAAAACACTATCCCTTTTAACGGTAACGCTGGACACACAGCGACTGGGTAGAAACCGGTTGCTAGGTCTGACTGTACATGTACCTTGTGTACGGGCCGTGGGATATAACCCATCTCAATGCCGCATAATGTGGAACCGTAACCACAGGCTGACTGTTCAGAAAATGGCAGTGCGGAGGCAACAATCACAGACTGAGAGCCTCCAGTGTCTCGTAATATGCGCATAGGTCTCTGATCGGCAGACTCCCCAGTTAAGGATATTAACCCCTCGAACACAAAAGGCTCAAAACAGGGATCTGTCTCACCCTCGTCACGGTCAGATGCAGGGATAAGGGATGACTCACCTTTAATCAGGCCAATGCCTTTTGGGGGGGGCATGTTTTGTGGCTGCTCCTTATGCGTCGGAGCTGCACCGTTGGCGATGACATGTCCAGGTTGGTGACAATAAAGGCTCTCTCTCTCCTCTGTATCTACATCATACACATTCCACGGCCTGGTAAATGGGGCGTCGGACACCCGGCGGGCCCTCTCGGTATACACAGGAGAAAACACAGATTTATGAATGATTACATATTCATCAGCCAACACAGCGGCCGCAGAGAGAGAGTTTACCTTCTGTTCATTCAAGTATATCACAATACGATCAGGCAACCATCTGTTAAACTCCTCCAACATGATCAGTTCCCTCAGAGCAGCATAATCAGCCGCTTCACATGAAACAACCCACTTACTGAACATCATTCCCTTCTCCCTGGCGAACTCGACATGTGTCTGATTAAGACCCTTTCTGTGGTTCCTAAATTTCTGTCGGTACGCTTCGGGAACTAATTCATACACCCTGAGAATGGCACCCTTCACTAAGTCGTAATTTAGACCGTCCTCTAGCGAAAGAGCAGCAACTGCTTCCTGAGCTCTTCCATAAAGTTTGCACTGGGCTAACAGAGCCCAGGCTTCAACCGGCCACCGTAGGGCCACTGCAATGCGCTCAAAAGCACCAAAGTACGCATCCACCTCAGTCTCACGGAAAAGTGGCACTAACGAAATATTTTTTACTACGTTGAATGCAGGGGGATGAGGAGGAAGTGAAAAGCTTTCTCTAGGATTGCCAACAACACCGGATGCGCGCAGTTCGGAGTCTAGCTCCATTTGCCGTATCCGGATCCGGACTTCTTTATCTGCCTCGATTTTCCTTATGTCCAACTGAAACTGCCTGTCTTGCTCCCGGTCTTTAGCTTCCAACTGAAGCCGGGCGAGACGGAACTCAGGATCACTCTCTTCCTCAGAGTCCGAACTGCCAAGAGTCGGTGCACTGTAAAAATATCCACCGTGAATTCACAATAATTACCTGGCAACTTGTTGCATGACTTTCACAGTAAGGTTCACAGCAATTTACTGTGAATGTCTTCACAGCAATGTATTGTAATTTCACATCCATGATATTACAATGCATTGTTGTAAAGGTACAACTGTATACTGTAACTTCACAGCTTCAATTACTGTGATATTACAGTATGTTACTGGGGAATTACATCATTTTGTTGTACATTAATTACAACAAGGGCCTGTACTTTTACATTTCTATTGTGAAAGTACTGCAGGAGTAGCCAGTAATTTACTGTGAATTTACAATGTGTACTGTGAAAGTACTGCAGGAGTAGCCAGTAATTTACAATGATACACGTGCATAACTGTAATTCCCAGCTCCAGTACTTCCTGGAGGAAGCGCATACAATGGTTTCCTGTCCAAGTTTAACAGGAAACCAAAGTGTGAGCTTCCTCCTGGAAGTACTGGAGCTGCACTATAAAAATGCACGTAATGTTATTGTACAATTAAAAACAACACACCAAACGCACAAATGAGGTAAAATCAATGGAAGCCCACTGGCATATTTATTGACAAAATAAACAACAGAGTAAACAAACAGGAACATGAACTAGTTCACCTCAACTATCCATAAAAAACAGATGAACCCTTAACGGATCCTTTAAACAAATAATCCCTCGCAGGTGAACTGACCGTAATGCTTCCCACTAAACTTGTCCCCGCACACCATGCAGTCTATGCAGACCATTCCAAGTCTATCAGCTTCCGGTGAAGGGTGCTCACGTGAGGGTTAATGGAGCTTCGCTTCTTTGCCTTGGAGCCTTTCTCCGGGTTGATGCCCAAGAAGCATCTGTTAATAAGCAAAGATAAGTTTCAGTTTTAAATACACTCATGTATTGCAGGCAGCATTTATCAAGGTGTTCACCTGTGTCTTTTCCCACACCGACTGTTACTAGTACAAACCTGTTGGATCATCCTCTCACAATAACATTATTTGTAGCCTAGCAGAGTGCCTCAGGTACCTCTAACATAAGGTTTACTTACTTATCTGAATTTTGAAGCCATACTATATTGTGAATTAAACCATTATGTCAATTTTTTTAACAAGCTAGCCCAGCAACATCAAGTGATGGTGTGGTCCCAATTCGCATATTTGGTTCCAGGCTTCATATTCAAAGCATTTAATCTACTTTATAGCCTCTGTAGAAAGGCATGGACTTAATAGCAAGATAGTGAAACACAAATTTGCATGACAAGTCTTACTGATGACATTGATCATGTGTTTGAGTGTTACAATACCTTTGGATGAACTCCAGTGTGCATGATCCAACGGGATATTTGAGGTTGAAGACATAGTAGCTGCTGAATAAAGCAGCTACCCCATGCAAAAAAAATGGGTGTGGGCCCATTACCACTTGTCCCTCGATGGATAGCATCCACCCAGAAGGCTTCATTGTGTCACCTGAAATGAACAGATACCCCGTCATGCGTTATTGTGGATAGGTACATTCCTAGAATCAATCAAAAATAATACTTGAGCTAGAGATGTCAATACCAGATCCGAGTAACATTCATGATTGGCCAAGGACGAAAAAGCAGGAAAATATACAGTGCAGAGCATGCAAGGACATGACACAGAACCCTCCAGGTGGACAGCACTTTTCTACTCCACCATCAGTGAGGTAGGCTACTTAACAGTCACTGTAAAAGCATCAAAGGTGTTTGTGCAGATAGGAGAATCTGGCTGAACGACAAAGCAACTCCCTAGCCCTCCTCCCTCTGCCTTTATGGATAGACGGTTTAACCTCATTCCTCTATGGGTAGATGGTTACGAGCCCAGCTAGAACGAGAACATGTCAACTCGTCAGACCCCTGAATCATTGAAACAGGCTATAGATTTTAACTAACGCGAATCGCTGAAACATATGGCGTCAGAGTATCGTAAGTGTCGTTTCACAGACTGGACTTTAATGGAGTGCAGGAGAGATGGAAGGCCTTCAGTCAGATTCTCCCCTTGATGCAAAGGAACACTTAAGCTCTTTAGAGTAACTATTCAGTATCCTATACCTCATCGATGGTGGAGCAGAACAGGGATGTCCTAAGAGAAATTATATAACTAGAATAAAAGCAGCAGTGAAGTCTAGCCATTCAGGTCAGAAAAGCAGGAAATCCTGTATAAACAGGAACAATCCCAACCCTGAACATTACATTACCTTGAATGATCAAGCAGGGGGTGCTTGGGAGTGCTGCAGTATTCACTACATCAGCAGCAGTGGCACAGGTCTGTAACAAAGTAACACACAATAGCATAGATTTAACATTATGCAAGGATGAAGATCGTTCATTGGTCAGAGGTAAATCAGAACATAATAAATGGTCTAATAATAATAATAATTACTTGCATTTATATAGCGCTTTTCAAGACACCCAAAGCGCTTACAAATGGACGTCCGCAAACCAATGTGTAGCCCCCGCCTGGGTGATGCTAAGGCAACAGCTAATCCGCGCACTACAGCTCAACACAGATCAGCTCGGCCCATTTGGAGCAACTTGGGGGTTAAGTGTCTTGCTCAAGGACACTTCCGACATGCGGACAGTCAGAGCCAGGATTCGAACCACCAACCCTACGGTCGATGAACGACCAGCTCTACCAACTGAGCTTCAGTTGCCCCTAATGTAATCACTCGTTTAGCATTTTAAATATTTAAATAAATTAAAAAAAACTTACATCAACTTCGAGCATCAGTTTCTCCGTAGGCTCCTTAAAGTAGACCATAAGGAGCTGGAGGATGCAGGCAGCCTTCTCCGAACCCTCTGGATCATAGCTGGCCAGAAATTCCCTGATCTTCGGGTTGTCCAGTTTCTGACAGAAATGCAGGATGGTCTGTCCTCTCTGACCCAGGGCCTCTTGGAGCTTCTGAAGTATGTTGACGTCCGTCAGGATGCCAAAGTGGGAGAAAAGGCTTCTCTGAGAAAAGAGAAAAGGCCATTCCTCTTTGACCTCAAACATCGCTGGTGCAGGCATTCCGTTGAGGTACCTCCGCAGGATGATGTAGGTCCTCACCATCAGAGGTTCTGCTCTCTCTGCCCCACCCATCCCTTCCTCTGTGTACAGACATACAAATACATGTTTGAGAGTACCCAAGTAACAACAATTAAATTCAATGTCCCCACCTCTGGGACATTTTGAGTGTCAAACCTTTAATTTCATGCTCTCATCATTACTCATTCTGAATATTAAGGTGGCCTTTTTGCTTAATGTGGGATGTTTATTCAGGTGTCAATTCACCAAAAATAAGGTAGATTGCATGCCTGAGTAGATCTTCCGCAGATCCCTTTTTCGAATCCTCCAACGTTGCCTCGGTCTCCCCCTCTGGTAACTCTGCTGGGCACCACCTCACACACCTAGGGATAGGAATCATAGGTTAAATCAATACTATTGGGGCCGATCATTTGGACTGGTTTTGGAGTGGGAACATTTCAATTATCATGACAGTTACACTGACGGCGATTATACAAAATCTACACATAATTTAAACATTCAATTCAAATAACCTAAGTTAGTCTAGCATGGCGGTGCCCCTTTAACCCCTGTGCCTTGCATGGTTGCTGATCGCCATTAGTGTGTGAGTGTGAATGGAGAGGACACTGCCACTGTATGTTCGCCGCTTCTCAGTGTGTGAATGAGAAGACCATTGTAAAGCACTGGGTGTCCTGAAAAGAGCTATGTAAATGCAAGGAATTATTATTACTGTAATCTTCAAAACCTTCAACGTACAATAATTGCAATATCTATATTTTGTCCACCCCTACACATACCCGTATTGGTCGACAGGACCTCTCGTCAGTCTGGACTCTCCTGCTACTCCAGTGTTCCTTCTTCCCTCTCGGCTTCGTCGGCGTCGAGCCAGAGTGTTGTTCCTAGTTTTATATTCCACTCTAGTTTTAACTTGTTGGAGAAGAGAGGGGCATTTTACATAACATGTAAGGTTATGTAAAAAAAGGGTTTCGTTCACAACTAATGGCACTTCTGGTTCATCATCATGTTCACCAGCAGCTTCTGAAGATGACTGAATGGGTTCTGGCAATGACTCTGTAGTAATAGACTTGTCTAGTACCAAGTCATCTAAAACTGAATCCTCTGCATGCCTATGTTTCCTGTTAATATGTGAAGCAAAAGTCATCACGTTTGTGAACCTGCAATCACAACCTCTAAATGGGCATTTAGTTTCCATTCCTCCCCTTACGTGTGTCTTCAAATGCTTAATAAGAGAGGCTAAAGTGTCACACTTAAATGCACAAGCCTCAAGCACACATTTCAAGGATGTGTCAGGTGGTAGAGCTGATATGTCAGGCGGTATAGGCCGAGCAGCTTGCAGGTAGCACTTATGCAGCCTATATATATGCGATTTCAGTGCTGTGTGTTTTCTGTACCTCCGTGAGCAATCAGACACCCCACACTGATAGTGAAAATTGGGGGCATTACTGTGCAGCTTTGTGTGCTGAACAAAGTTATGCACCTTCTCAGACACATGCTGACATCCAATATATTTACAGTGGAACATTGTTGTGCGTGGTAACTAGTTACCTACCCAAACATAATTCAATCTGCCTGACACTGAACAGGACGGTTAGCCTGGCTGCCTGACACTGAAGAGGATGGTTGGCCTCTCTGATGACCTAGAAAAAAGGAGACCAGAGAAAGGAGAAATTACAAAGGCAACCAACAAAAGGAATTTTTCAGTTTGCATGCAGATTATGAACATGAGCATGTTGTAAAGGTGTTCAAGGTCAGGTAGTCGAGCATCCCATTTAGACGAGACAGCAGTCACACAATCATATCGAAATGTTAACTACCTTAGCTGCAACAACACTCGAACAGTCACTAGCAATTTCCTCGAGGATGGCGCACGCACACCAGGATCACGAGGATGTCAAATCTGGAATAGAGGCAGTAAAAAACCACCACAGGGAAGCAAGAGAGGTAAGCTCACATAAATGTACTGTCAAACAGTATTGGATGAAGTGATTAATCTCAGGTGTGCTACACAGGTAACAAATGTCTGAGCTTCAGTACTTCATGGAGGGAAGCACTGGAACTGGGGACTGCAGTTATGCACAGTCTATAAACTACGGTCTGTGTTGCATACTAGGCCTACCTCCAACTAGGAAGCAATCCGTGGATTGGATTTAGGCAATACACCTCGTCGCGTCGGTCAACACCAGGCAGGCAATCAGTAGGCCTAGAGCAAGATACAAGATCTGTTTATTCGCCATGTAGTTTTACAACATACTAGAAATGTGTTGCTGGTAGGTACTGACATAAAGACAACATTGGACAGGGACAAGACAGGACAAGTGCAAAACAGGACAGTGTACAAAATGCAGGTAAAAGTAGAAGCTAATTTAGGCTAGAATAGTATAGAAGTAAAATAAGATTTAAAAAAATTGTGTTTTCAGAGAAATAACATTACGCATTGCAATAACCTATAAACATTTCAAACCTATAAACATTGCGAATCTGTAAACATTGTGAAGAGGCAAGAGAGTTTGGTAATCCTTTATCATCCAGAGTAGTGTTGATGAAAGTATTGAGTGATTGAAACTTTGCTCGCCACAGGGTGGCGTCTGTAACGCACATATTAACATAGATACGCTCCTCTGAAATGATTGTCCCCTGCAATTATTATTATCCCTCAATCGAGATCGCTATTCAGCTTGCTAACGTTAGCTTAAACAAACGTAACATGCAACGTTAGCCTAATCTAAAATGCTCTACTACGGCGTACCTTTCATGTGGCTCGTCAGCGCAGACTCTCGCATCGTTATTTTTGCAAACTTTGCAGGAGGCTACTCGTGGGCTTGACCCTCGTCTTAGCCATGGCTTGTATTTGTCTTCTGCTAGCCAACGCTCGTTGAAACTGCAACCTCCTGGCACACAGTCATCTATCACTCTCATCAGAATACCCAGCTCACACGTGACGTAAAACAAACACTTGCAGGTCGCGCGCATAGCGCGGGAAGTCCGCAGCGGAGCTGTTTTATGTAGAAGCGAAGCAATTCTTTTCTTTTAATCTAAAAAGCGAACTATTCAGTCAGACAGCAATTTATTGTAAAAGTAAAGCATTTACATTTTCAAGCACTTTCCTAACCTTGAAAACAACACGTCAAATGTCAAGCATTTTCAAGGATTTCAAGCACCCGTACGAACCCTGAGTAGTACAGTTAAAACCTTAACGATCCGAATAATCGATGAATCGATAGATTAATCGATTATCAAATTAGTCGTGTGTTGCAGCCCTAGTGATGACACGTGGTGACACCAATGTGCAATAGGGTCTGTGACGAATTCATTAAGAACATTGTAAGAGCAACTAACGTTACCAACTTTGACACCGATTTAGATTAGGTCTAATTTGATTAGACAATGTCATGAAACCACCAAGCACCTAGCACAAGAAACATTCATTAGCTAGCTAACATCAGCTAACCTACTAGTAAGTTAGTTAGACCATGGCGTCAGAATTCAAACTTAGCAGCAATGCTAAGCTAACTAGCTTATACCAATGGCAATTATACCAGTCTTACCGGTTAAAGTATTCATTGTTCGCTCTTTCATTCGAATACAGCATAAGCCTTCTGCCAACAAATGGAACAGTCAGCAACAGTTGGCTGGCTAGCACCAGAGCCATCTACCATAGCCATATACGGCGCTGGCTAGCACTAGCTAGGCTAACGTTAAGGCCACCTGCTTGAAGGTGGACATGGCTGCTACCAAGCTAATGTTACTAGCTAACGCTAGCTATCTATTCGCTACCATGTACAAACCAACACGACACTACTCCACTGGCGTTCACAATCGAAAGCACATAATATCCACCACTAATCCACATTATGGGCAGTACTTACTTGCTGTTTACCGATGGTAACCGCTTTGGAGAAACTCACAGATGTTCACCTTGACTGTTGCCTCCGTGCGAATTTTCGAAAGGATCGAGGCATCTCTGTTAGGAGGCTTTGGGTTCCTCAATGCGCGATATGATTGGCCGTTCGAGCGATGACGTTCCGTTTCGTCCCTTCAAACGTGACACCTACGGTTAACAGGCAAACCAGTGGACAAATACCCAGAAATGACGTTTTTTCTGGCGTGTATGTCACGTGATCTTCAACTTTCGCAGCAGAATAAAATAAATATAAATATATCAGCAATTAAACAACATATTCCATTTCTTTTCACACAATACGTCTCCTTTCAGTATCAACACTAATTCGGCTGACTTATATATTTGATCCAATTGGTAGATAAGGACACCTAGTGGTTAAAGCACGTTATTGAAATGTTTTGTTGAATAATCTTTAATCTTTAATAACCTGACTTTGGAAAGGGCTGGAAATATACTTTTTTCACCAGGGGCCTCTAAATAGGGCCCAGATAAGAAATATGAAATATGGGAACCGTAACTCACCCAGACATTTTTTTTTCAATCTAATGTCAAACTCTCACAAAATCCTGTCTAGAGCTAAGGATTGGACACCCTTTGGTGAGGGAGGGAGAGAAAATTGAAAAAAATTGAAAAAAGGTGCTTGGCGCTTCGAGACTTTGAGAGTGTGTTGCTTCACTTGTGTGGAACCCGCTTGCAAAATTTGGGGCCGCGGTGACCTTCAACCAAGTCTCAAACTAAGGTTAAAGGTCATGTTTTCATGGCTCTCAGTACTCTAGACGGCACAAAGGAAGGTCCGACAGCTTTGAGCTTGGTGTCGTTGGAATCGCCTCGAAGAGTACATGCAGATTCATCCCTCTGCTGCTCCGAATGTCAAACGTTACGGCTTAAAACGGGACAAAGCCTTCCATTATGCCGCTTTCACTCTCGCTCTTGTGGTGACAGAGCACGCCAATTTTCCCGCATGCTAGGCAGACAAGAGTATTCTAGTTAGCTTTGGTTTGATGTGGAGATGTGATTTGATGTGTCGTTTGTCCCCCAACTCCTCTCCAAAGTTGAGATATGTAATAAAATACTCAGGGGAGTTTCCTGAATTTTCATGCCGAAAGCCAAGCACTAGGCCCTGGGTAAATTAAGACGCTGATTTGGGGCACTTTTTCCACTTTCCCTGGTGCTAGAAACTCAAGTCAGGCATCCCTGGAATCGTTGTAAAAATACATTTCTAGCTAAACGTAATTGAGAATGCAGTTTAGTTCTGTGGGAACGTAATTTTTAGGAGACAGGGTTGCCAGGACACACGCCGATTAGAATAGTCTATTCTGCACATGTGCAATAGTACACAATTCAAATTTTACAGTAATGAGTTGTGCTCTTTATATACAGTCTATCATGGTTGTGCTAAGATGATTTTGAGTACAGTGCTTTACTGTGAAATAATAGTTAAATAATGTGAAATCCAATTCTACTGTTTTATAGATATTTTGTTGTGATATTACAGGGGCTTTTGATTACAATATTTCTCTGTAATATGATACTCTTAAATGCTGTGAAATCCTTGCAATTTTTACAATGTTGTTGTGATATTACAACATTTGGATGTGATATTACAGAGGATTTTGATTGCAGTATTTTATTGTGAAATAATAGTTAAATGCTGTGAAATCACAAGGATACAGTCCTTTTTACATGTATTTGTTGGGATATTACAGGGGGCCTTGATTACAATATGTCACTGTAAAATAATACTGTTAAATGTTGTGAAATGCTGGTAATTGTTTACAGTGTGGGTTGTAAGGAATCGGCGTGAACGGTGCTTTAAACTGCCCACCGCCCTCACTGTCACCCCCTTCCCCTTTAGCAAGAACCTTAGGCACAGTGAGCTCAGCTGGTGCAGGCAGCACCAGAAAACCCCTTTCCACCAACTCATCCACCACCAGAGCCTTTAATTCTTTTTTAAATGTTTGCCTAGTCACTGCGAGACTGAAATGTTGCGCTAGCTCATGTAAGTCATCTTTACCACACCGGTCTAGCTGCTCATAAGAAGGACAGACCAAAAACGACTCAAAATCGAAAAGTGCCATGCTCAACTAAAACTGCACACAAAGTCCACCAAATTGTTTTTAGCAATAAAAAAACACTTATAACCCCAGGAATTAAGTTATATATCCCGGACGAGTCCCCATGTGTTACGTTCCCTATTGGGCTAGGGCAGGGGTGGCCAACCCGCGGCTCTCGAGCCGCATGCGGCTCTTTGCCTAGTTTCATGCGGCTCTTCAGTTCATATCGAATTTTATGTGTGAGTTTGGGGGAGAGACACTGACTCTGTCCTAACTAGTGTTGCACGGTGTAACGATACTTGAAAGGTATACCGCGATACTCTGCCGTTAAAAACGTTACGATTCCTCCGTTTCATTAGTATCGGTACTTTAAGAATGACGGGGGAAAGTACTCCGGTGAGAAAGCGCCGTTTCAATAAGAGCCGTGTGTGTTCAGCGCTCTGCTTCCACTCCCTGCACTGCAGCCGTGCCTGCAGTCCCGCCCCTCTCAAGCACGTTTGAAGTCCCTCCCCTCTCAAGCACGCTCTAAGTGCCTCCCCTCTCTCGTGCACGCGCTAGCTGCAAGAGCATTTGAGAAAACGAGAAGCATGGTTGCAAGTGGGAGTGCAACTGCCGCTGCGCCTTGGCTTGTTGACAAAAAAGACGCCAGAAGCTACATTTGGAAGTATTTAGGGAAACCTATCGTTGATTAAACACTATTTCCCCTATCATTGTCTTGGAGGGGCGCTGCGCCCCGCCAACGGAGTCCCGCGCCCCCCCTGAAATTCAAGGTGTTTAAAAAAAAAATATATATATTTTTTTTTAATATATATGTAGCACCAAATTGCAAATAATCTATGACTACTGTCACTTTTCACATTGAACATGTGCTCTTTTATTAAATAAACGCTTTCATTTTAAGTTGTGGGTTTAGTGTTTTTGACCC